GAATCAAATTTCGAGAAATGATTATGTTAAAAATTATGCATGAAAACTCTTTTTTAATCATATTCACTTTATTTTTCCCTCAACGGTCTTCTCCATACTGAATATATGTTTTTTTCTATTTATGCTATAATAGGACTAAACCTTTGGAAAACTTAAATGTTTACAGCAATTTTCGCTGCATTTTAGCTACCGTACTTAATATTGTTTTCATACATATATAGTGAAATGGTGATAACAAGGGCTGTATGGCAAAACCATTTCTTCAGTACGTAGTATGGTGTGACGTCAGACTTTTGATCATGTAGCCGCCATTGGCCAGTTATGACGTCAAGACCTCGTTTCCCGGCAGTCAAGTTGCACTGGGGCAAGGGTAAGAATATCGTCAGCAAAGAGTTCTGCAGCATTATGAACCACTGGAGAAATTAGAGGCCAATATTCATTCAAAAACTATTTTTAATTCTTACATGACTTTGCAATTTGCAAAATATAATTTTGCTTCTTTCAGTTGAAACAAATTGGTGTTTCTAATTTTGGTAATTCGTTGTTAGTAAAGTAGAGAAACCAATTGATAGACATATAAGGAATAGAGTCTAGTTTACATATTTAGCGCTTTTTATTATGATTCTTATTACATTTTATTAAGTGGTTTAAAAATGGTACGGGATCTACGGGTTGTTGGCCTAATTATTTCTCTTCTAAAATTGGACTGAAATGTTTTAGCCAGTAAAATATGTCTTGGAAGGAGATTAGCATTATTTCGTTGTTAGTAAATATCTATAACTATTTTTAAAAGTTGAATATTCCCTAAGACAAAGTAAATAATATTATATAATTGGAAATTATAGCTTGGGCATTAGGACAAATGTGTATTCTAAAAAATATTGGGTTGGATGCATGTATAATGCTAAGATGTTTCTTATTTAATCTCTCCATTTTTAGCTGATTGGAGTTTGAAGAAATTTCGCACAAAGATTAAATAGAATCCTAGATCATAAGCGATATGATTTATTGCTGTAGAACCTTCAAATTAACAAAATTTATGTGAAGAGTTTCACTCATTATTATTTATGACAATGGTAAGAACCTGTAATGTTTACTTTTTAATTTTTACCTTTTTCAAATTATTTTTAAGATTTCTCTAAAAAGCAATACTACCACAAGGCTGCCGAAGGTTGAATTGGCTGCCAAAATATCAAATAAAATACCTTATTTAACTAAGTCAAACGGTTAATAATGGCGAAACAAAAAATGTTTTACTCAATAGTATTAAAGGAATATCTTCTTCTCTCCATGGTCACCCCATACCTCGTTCACGTCACGGACGAATCCAATAATCAGTTAAAACATGTTTTTTAATTCAATAAAATCAAATAAAAACAAGATTAATCCTGAAGTGTTTAAGGAAAAAGTAAGCATTTACGACAAAATAAGCACTCTACATTCAAAGTTGAAATTTTTCAAATTAACATGAACAGGTGTATAACGATGTTTACATTTTAGATGCAATCTGAAAGCAATCCAACGAAATCAAAGCTGATTAAATCCTATTCTAAGACCTCTTAAACCTTGTACTGCAGTGAACCTTGTGACAATGTATTTTTAGTTATGTAAGATTGAGTGGTGCAGATATCACTAAGGCTTTGGTTGGTGACAGTGGATATATTCCTGCGTTACTATTGGTTGAGTTCAACACGCCCTCGAATCAGCTGGGAGCTGCGTGTCCAAATTACGTCATAATTGACTTTTGTCAAATTTAACTCCTTCAGATGCAAGATTTTTTACTTGGATGGATTACGTATAGAGTTAACATGTGGGGTGGTGGGTGGTTTTAGATTATAATATACTCAATGTGTATAATATAATGTGAATTTATGTTTAACAGTTCTTGGATCTGTTTGATTCTACCAAATCAATGTGTCATAATTTTAATGCAATTTCTACAGGTCAAATTTATACAGTAAGGTTTTTTTGACAATTATTGCAGTAATTTCAAATGGAATTGTAGTACTTTGATTGTATGCTAGTTCTCACTTATTGAGGAAGAGCTTATTACTCTAAGAACACATAAATTACTCAACAACAGGTGTCCGAATTAACTTGGACCTAATAGAGCAAGAGCCCATGACTGCCAGACCTTCGTCATTTTATAAAAGCTGAAAGTTTCTCAGCAAATGCTCCCAGTTCAGTTAAGGAAGATCTGCAACTATGACATTTGGATTTTGGTTACTTTGGCAACAAAAAGGTAACAAAGGTCTGAAATTTGCAAATAATCATCGTTATAGTATAAAGCTTGGTTCTTTCATATTTTCTTCAGAGGAATGTTAGAAATCATTTCCCCCATTGCCAGACACTTTGTGCGGTTTAAACCCTCTGCCAGACACCCTTAAAAACTAGGTATGACGAAGATTAATTTTCGTCATTTTATAAAAGCTGAAATTGATATATGTTATTTGGGGAGCTATCAAAAGACGATTTCTCAAAAGCCAGACACTTTCGTTGGTAACTTCATCTAGCCAGACACTTTAAAGTCTGCCGTAATAAGCTTAACTGTTACCTGCAAACAGTGAATTCAGTTCCAGTTTGGAACAGGTTTCTGTGCCAAATGTAAACGGTGAAATCACAACTTATTTCTAATCGTAATTGCGTTAATTTATATCATAGTATAAAAGCTGAATTTGATATACGTTACTTGGGAAGCTATGAAAAGACATTTCCTCAAGAGCCAGACACTTTCGTTGGTTATTTTATCTTGCCAGACACTTTATAGGACTGTAGTAGTATAATAGGTACAGTAGTTACAAGCAGTGACTTCAGTTCCAGTATAGAACTAACTGGTTTCTTCGCCAAATGTAACAGGGTGAAATCACAACTTATTTCAAATCGTAATTGCGTTAATTTACATAATAGTATAAAAGCTGAATTTGATATATGTTACTTGGGAAGCTATGAAGAGACATTTCATCAAGAGCCAGACACTTTCGTTGGTTATTTCATCCGGCCAGACACTTTTAAAGTCTGTTGTAATATAATAGGTAGCTGTGGGCTTAACTGCTACATACGAACAGTGACTTCTGTTACAGTTTGGAATAGTTTTCTGTGCCCAATGGTTTTAGAACATAATTACATATTTTCAAAACACTGCAGGATTAAACAAACAATTAAATGCAAATATAACATTATGATTACATCAAACATATGGTTTATTATAAAAACAGACTGTGAGGAAGAAAATAAGTAATTTAACCGTTTACATTTGGCACAGAAACCTGTTCCAAACTGGAACTGAATGCACTGTTTGCAGGTAACAGTTAAGCTTATTACGGCAGACTTTAAAGTGTCTGGCTAGATGAAGTTACCAACGAAAGTGTCTGGCTTTTGAGAAAACGTCTTTTGATAGCTCCCCAAATAACATATATCAATTTCAGCTTTTATAAAATGACGAAAATTAATCTTCGTCATACCTAGTTTTTAAGGGTGTCTGGCAGAGGGTTTAAACCGCACAAAGTGTCTGGCAATGGGGGAAATGATTTCTAACATTCCTCTGAAGAAAATATGAAAGAACCAAGCTTTATACTATAACGATGATTATTTGCAAATTTCAGACCTTTGTTACCTTTTTGTTGCCAAAGTAACCAAAATCCAAATGTCATAGTTGCAGATCTTTCTTAACTGAACTGGGAGCATTTGCTGAGAAACTTTCAGCTTTTATAAAATGACGAAGGTCTGGCAGTCATGGGCTCTTGGGCTATAATAGAAATTGAAGGTCATAAGGTTGTGTAACAAACATTGAAGGTTGGTGTGGTTAAACTTTTACTCAAGTATGAGTTGGTTAAGGGAAGTGTACAGTACAGTACATAATGATATGGCTAAACAAGTACAGTACTTGTATAAAATTGAAGGAAGTCTTTTTATAAGCTTTTTACATAAAAATCTTTTGACCAATCATGACGCATTAAAGCTATTTTAGTAATTGGTTGCAGCTGGTTCATGTAAATTTTACTTCGTCATTTTAGTGAAATTCAAAAATTAATTAAAATTATGTTTAACGTAATATGTCTCCCCATTGATGGGCATAAATGCCACTTGTTGTATATATTTTTAATTCTAACAGTAAAGGGAAGATTTTTTTATAAATACTATTTGACAGTTATCGAAATGACGTATACACATTTCTTAAGCAAATTTATTTATTTTTCAAAATTGTTTAATCAAATTTCATTCAAGCAGGTTTTTGTTGGCTTTGACTGTAACGAACTATATATTTTCAAATGGAATATCCAATACAGAGACTAAAATAAGCCATTGAACAAATATCTATCTTAGGAAAAACCGGGACAAATTAGATTTTATCTGGCAATGTCAAAACGTTTTTGAAAAATATATAAAAATAGCTGTTTCCGGAAATAAGAGTGAGATTTAACTACCGGAATTTTGTAATTTTATCACAATTTCCCTGCATAATAACGCCTTCAAATCTTTGACATTTTCTTGTACCAAACAAGTTATACACTACAGTAGAAAATTTAGGTATATTAAAACATATAATAAGATAGACCTTCTAAATTGACCCCTCTTTTCGACTTAACATACCGTTCACAGAAATCACATACTCATAAGTGAAAATAAGGTTTTAAACTTTGGTCCCTACTAGCCGGATGATTGAAAAAGTATTGTTTTGTGTGTTTTCTACGTTAATGGCTTTTTTACGTTTTGAAAGGGAACGGTCCTAAAATAATTTATAGAATATAATTTTGAACTTATTGTTGGGATAAGATTAATTTGATAACGGGTTTGGGTTAAGAGTAATTCATAGACCCTTATTTTAGTATCCAAAGTCATTTTCATTCTAATATTTTCATCCCTCTCTAAGATATTTTGCCTGCGCCACAATTCACACCCATTGATCGACCTAGCCCACCACTCAACAACGGGATGCAGGCACATATCAACTCTAAATCCTCTAATCCCAGCGAATTATCTGTCTATTGCGTCCCCTCCACCTCGACCTCATGTAAATATGTCGCGAACGATGCCTTCGCCTCAGTCTAGTGCCTACCCGCCGATCTCGAGGATATCAGGTACCTAGTGCCTAATAGTGCTTACGGTTCACACATACACGTATGTATAAGAAGTTTGTGTGCTGTTAAGATTTTTATATTTATTTTTTGATTTAAAAGTGAAAATGTTTTAAAATTTGGTCCCTACTGGCCGGATGTTTAAAAAAGTATTTATTATTTAGTTTTTTTCTATGCTAATGCAATTTTTTACGTTTTGAAAGGGAAAAGCTCCTAAAATATATATGATATAATTTTGGATGTATTGATAGGATGAGATTGATTTGGTAAATGGTCTGGGTTAAAATGTAACTCTTAGAGTAGCTAGGATGAATAATTGGATAAAAATGTAAATTAATTTGACATTTTTGGTCCTAATTGAGCCGGATAGGTAAGGAAAGTTATAGGTAAGTCACTTCAAGCATTGCTTGTAAAAAAAAGATATTGTAAAAGTTTTATATTTATTTAGTTTTGAGGGCAGTACCTAGGATGCCTAATTGAAGCGAAATAAAAACAGGGTTTAAGGTTTAGTCCCTTTCTACCAGATAGGTGATAAAACAATATTTAAGCTTTGTTTGGCTTAAAATGTAAATTATTGGCGGACAAATGACAAAGGCAAATGCAAAATTTTTTGTTGTTGTAGTTAATTTGATTTCAACAGTTTTAATTATCAATACGTCGTTCTTAGGGTAGGTTTTACAAATTTGATTAAATTGTTGATAAGAGGTTTGGAATTTTGGTCCATTTGGGCCGGATAACCTATAAAACTAAATTTAAGCAAAACCTATAATTTCGTCATGAATAATGGGATTTCTAATGTATTATTATATATACTGTATTTAATTCCTTTTACATAAATAAAATAATAATATTTCAGAAGTAATCAAATTTACAATTCCAAACAGTTATTCTAAACTACCTGTGAATGGGTTGTATCATATGTTAAGTAATCTATGGAATATCCCCAATCTAATATAAACCTGTTACCTAATGAGGTCCACGAGGAAGATTAAGCCCGGCTATTTAAAACAAGGATCAAAGGACCCATTGTAAAATAATATTGTGTTACTAAGGTTAACAGTGAATCAGCTTTTGTCAGTATTTTAGCAATGACAAGTTCTAAAAGTATTGTAATAGGGAATTAACCGGTAAAAATATTAGTAATTTAGTAGTGATAATGTAAATTAATGTTGTCAGTGAAACAAATATAGCGGGTGTCCCGTAAGTAAACAGTCCGGTAGTTCTATGGATCAAATTAGAGATTAAATAAAGAATTTTACCAAAGAAAACTTCATTTACCATATATCCATAATTTCTTAAAAAAAAATTCATTGTTGCATTTTTACAACTGATCTTTGTGAAATTTCGTATGTACCGACCAGAGAAGTACCTTTGAATAATACACTTTCAAATAATAGTGTTTGTTAATGATAGATAGTATGAGTGATTAGTTTTTACAAAATAAAAGAGATGAAAAACAATTGATGGTTTATTAACATGGTTGAGAACAAAACTGATAAAAGTAAACAAAAAAGTAAATAGATCATAACAATTAATAAGACATATGATTTTATCCTCAAATGGCAGGCAGTAGATAGTATTCAGAGAGATTCAGAGAGAACTTCTAACATACTCCCCCCAAATTGCAACAGGGAACTGGGCAATTTTATTCTGTGGCAGGAAGAGAGCACAATTTTGCTATTGGTCTTCAATGTTTCCACGCAGATGAGTTTGTCATATTCCAGATTTGTGGCAGACTCCTTTAGTGAGGGTTTAACATCGTGTCTTCCTCTATCAGTCCTAGAGTGTGTTGATTGCGAGTGTTCTGCACACGTTTGATTTTCAGGAGATAAAACTTGAACTGGATCTTTGGCAAAATCCTCCTGTTCCCAAAACTTCTGAAGTAAATCATCTACTTTGTTCTCCAGTAGGCAATGATACATTGATGATTTATTGTCATTGATGAAAAATCCACATGGCCCAGATAACACCCAACCAAAGATGGTTGATTGAGCGATAGGAGTTAGAGGCGGACCCTTGATAAGTCCAGGAAGAATGATACTTCCATAAACATCAGCTCCAAGTATCAAATCTACAGACCCAGGGGTCATGAAATCTTGATCAGCTAGTTGAAGCTTCTTGATATGATGCCAGTTAGATTTACCTGGTGTCATAGTAGGCAACTTAGCAGTGAGTTTTGGCAGAATATGAGCTGTTAACGGACAGATGAATTTGTCATTAGATGGACTCCCAATGTTAATGGACACTACTCCACGAGTAGTTGATGTTTGATTTCCTCCGATACCGATAAGAGAGAGTGAGGATGAGGAGCGTTCAATATGAAGAGTCTGCACTAGATGCTCGCTGATAAAGGAAATTTCGGAGCCTTGGTCGATTAGAGCTCTACACACAATGTTGTTACCTTTCGGGCCGATTACTCTAACTTGAGCAGTAGCTAAAAGGACTGTGTGTCGATTTCCAGTTGGAAGAGAGTGATTTGAGGACACTTGTGGTGTGTTTGATGATTTTCTTTCCGGATGTGGTGGATTTGGGGTTTGATAAGTGGATTTTATTTGACTAGATGTATCAAAAGGTTTACTGACAGCGTCATGAATCAATGTATGGTGGCGATTACCACATTTCACACATGATTTTTGAGATCGGCATTCTTTGAGCAAGTGAGGACCAAGACAGTTGAAACATAACCTTTTACTTGATAAGAAGTCCTTACGTTGAACAGGTGTTTTAGCGAGAAACTCTTTGCAATATACTATGTAATGAGCATGACTACAAAGTTTACACATACCTTTTTCTTTAGATTCTGCTACCAAAGCTGCATTTATCTTAGGATTGTGCTGAGGTTTACCTTGATGTTTTGATTGATTCACCATTCCATTCGAGTGAGACACTTCCCTAGCTTCGATGTTTTCCAAAGCCCGTACACGTCCCTCGATGAAGGTCTGTAGGTCTTGCAGCGATGATGGTTCTGTCGATACGCCTTGGTGAAGCTCCCATGCCTCGTGTGTATCAGGATCTAGACGATGAACAGTCAGATATACTAAGATGTGATCCCATTGATCGATCGGCGAGCCAAGAGATTTAAGTGAGCCCAAACTCTCATTTACAGTTGAGATCAGATGATTAAGACCTTTGGCAGATTTTTGTTTTAAAGGTTGGATATTGAAAATGTCATCTAGATGTTTGTTAATCAAGACCCGTTTGTTTTCAAATCTAGCTACTAGTTTTTCCCAAGCTGGAATAAAGTTTTCCTCAGTGATTTGAAAACTAGATATCAACTGAGCAGCCTCGCCTACCAAGCTATTTTTGAGGTAATGTAATCTTGTTACATCAGTTAAGTCAGGATTAGAAATTACTAAAGAATCGAAAAGATCGCTAAACGGTTTCCAGGATTGATAATCTCCTGCAAACTGTGGCAAAGATATTTGAGGCAATTTTGGTCTGAGAAAAGAGTTGGATTTACTACTTTCTGTAATACTTGCATTTTGGAGAGATGACGTTGAGACTAAGTCAAGGAGGTCCAGCATTTCCGATTTGTTGATGAGGTAAGCTTCTTTTCCGCGGCTGTAGTGGTCTTCATTTAGATAGTCGAGATTTTCTAGCAATTCGGGCTTTGACTCACAGATCCTTTCGTGATCTTTGTCAAACTTTTTCCAGTCTGCTTCCAAAACTTCAAGTCTTGTTTGTAGTTGAGCCTTAGTTATAGTAGATGTATCTTTGTTTTTGAAAAAGGCTGAAGCATTTTCCAGGTGTTGTGATCTTGATTTTTGGAGTTTTATTTTTGATTCCAGTGATGCCATAATGATAATGAATTTTCAAATTTTGGTAGACATAAAATAAATTTTGATGAATAAAATTTCAGTGATATAGATACAAGTGTTTTGATATGTTGCTGTTCCGGCTCGATTTAGGACCAATAATGTTAATGATAGATAGTATGAGTGATTAGTTTTTACAAAATAAAGAGATGAAAAACAATTGATGGTTTATTAACATGGTTGAGAACAAAACTGATAAAAGTAAACAAAAAAGTAAATAGATCATAACAATTAATAAGACATATGATTTTATCCTCAAATGGCAGGCAGTAGATAGTATTCAGAGAGATTCAGAGAGAACTTCTAACAGTGTTAATGATTTATATTTTCATTCGTAAATTTAAGTAAGGTTTGAAGCTTAAAGCTATTGCTTGTATTATTTCGCTATGGAAAATCTATTTAAGTATTTCTTAAATAATTAACCTAGCTAGCAAATTGTTAAAAATAAAATACTAATGTACTAAGATTATAAGAAGGAACTGATCAATTGTTATAAGAATCAAAGAATGTTTTTTTATACGATCACCACTATTTTTTACTGGTTGAAATATTATAACCATCTACAAATCCTGTTAGGGATCAGGTTATTTTTTATATTAGGTTTGGTTTGAACAGATACATAACTTAAAAACTAAATTTTGTAGCGTTACACAAAACTTACAACGGAAAAAATCAGGAGTGAAATTTGATCAATGAGTGATCAATACAAAAATATAACAATCAAATGTGCACTAAATTGAATGACCTTAGAATTAAAAAAATTGACACAATGTAAGCGAACTTGAACTGCCAGCAAACTACGCACTTCACATTGACAAAATCGAAACCAAAACGCAATTTTGTTCCATTATTTCGCAAATATCCCTCTTCGCATTGTCCACCAGTAATTTGAAGCATTGTTGGTTTTTGCGCGTGGAGTAGTTTTGCACATCATCAGCTGTGACATTGTTGTCGCCTCCAGGTAGACTAAATGACGTAATATGATTGACCTTGAGCCGGTTGTCCACCTGTCACGTTTGACCTTGACCTTTGTGTCGTGTTGACTAATTAGAACACAGAAGTTTGTTTTGTTTGATATTTTACGCACGATTACGCGACTATACCACTGTGTTTTTGGTGAAATTAATTTGCTGATCAGTATTGTTTTAATTAGAAATAAAAGTCGTCCAGTGGTTGAAAATTAATGTA